AATGATTTATTTTTCATTACTATATTAAGTATCGAATTATTTACAAACTGTTTGTATTTAAGAGTAGTTGAGGGTTTTCAGGACCATTCAGAATGAGTTAGTAAATGATTAATAAACTATTGAAATCAACATTTATATGTCTTATTATTCAGGCATATATTAATGGTTAACTAATATGTTAATAAATGCTTTGTTAACTCAACTTCATGCAGTTTTGTGACCTAAAGTGAGGACTATTCATGCTTTATAAATCCCTTATAAACAACAATTAAAGGCTCAGTTAAATTCTAAACAGGAAAAAAATACATTATTCATTTCTCTTCATTTAAAGATACACAAATGAAACTGTACTTCAAATAAAAAATAAATCTTTGCAACCTGATCTAAAATAGACTCACTGTGAAGTTTAAACATCACATCTTATTATCATTTTGAACTATTATATTGTTGTTTTATCCAGTTGGATGTCGTATTTTGACGCTCCTGTTATTTTGCAATGTTTTAACTTTACAGTAATTGTACTTTTTAGAAAGATTGCACATATTATCGTTCATTTGATACTGAGCCTTTAATAGTCATTTATAAGGCATTTATAAAGCATGAATAGTCCTCACTTAAGGTTACAAAACTGCATGAAGTTGAGTTAATAAATCATTTATTAACATATTAGTTAACCATTAATATATGCCTGAATAATAAGACATATAAATGTTGATTTCATTAGTTTATTAATCATTTACTAACTCATTCTGAATGGTCCTGAAAACCCTCAACTACTCTTAAATACAAACAGTTTGTAAATAATTTGATACTTAATATAGTAATGAAAAATAAATCATTAACTAAGTATGAAAATACAATTATTAAGCACATTATATAGGTGCTTATAAGGCAAGAATAGAGCATTTGTAGCTGCAGTTATAAACTGCTTACTAACACTTATTAATGTAGAGTTAATGCTTAACAGATCATGAATTCTCTATTTGCTAATGCTTAATAAATGATTTATAGTGTGTAGTTATAAAGTGTTACCGATATTTTTTAATACACTAATGTGTATTTATATAGTGCATTTATTGTGTATGGTCATACACCCAAAGCGCTTCACAATCATGAAGGGGGGGGGGGGGGGGGGGTCTCTTTACACCACCACCAGTGTGCAGCATCCACTTGGATGATGCGACGGCAGCCACAGGACAACAACGCCAGTGTGCTCACCACACACCAGCTATTGGTGGAGTGGAGAGACAGTGATAGAGCCAATTCGGTGGAAGGGGATGATTGGGAGGCCATAATGGGTAAGGGCTGATTAAGGGACTTTGGCCAGGACACCGGGGTTACACCCCTGCTCTTTACGAGAAGTGCCATGGGATTTTTAATGACCACAGAGAGTCAGGACCTCGGTTTAATATCTCATCAGAAAGACGGCGTCCCCTTCCCTTTTACTGGGGCATTAGGACTAACACAGACCACAGGTTGAGCGCCCCCTGCTGGCCTCACTAACACCACTTCCAACAGCAGCCTAGTTTTTCCATGTGGTCTCCATCCAGGTACTGACCAGGCTCAGCCCTGCTTAGCTTCAGTGAGTAACCGCTCTTAGGCTGCAGGGTGACATGTGTACCATCTGACAGTACTAAACTTTTCATCATATACTTTGTTAACAATAATATTGTTTGTAAGTGTTTTGTTCTCTTGCATTCCTCAGATTACAATAAGTGTTTAACGTGTGTGTGTGTGTGTGTGTGCGTGCAGTGTGTGAATCTCGTCAGCGCGCTGTGTTTCTGCCGTCGGTCATCATGAAGGAAGGTTTCCTGCAGAAGCACAAGGCTGAAGGTCCTCAGCTGCTCAAACGCTTCACTTTTAAGAAACGCTATTTCTGGCTGAGCTCAGAGTCGCTGTCCTACGCCAAGAGCCCCGACTGGCAGGTTTGAACAATCTCACACACATCACACTTACTTCTGTTTACATTTCAGTGTTTCCTAGTTTTGTTTGGAAGTTTGTTGCCACCCTGGTATAAATATAGAGGTGAAGTCAGAATTATTAGTCCTCCTGTATATTTTATTCCTCAATTTCTGTTGATAGAGAGTAGATTTTTTTCAGCACATTTTTAAATAGAATAGTTTTAATAACTTATTTCTAATAGCTGATTTCTCTTTGCCATGATGACAGCACATCATATTTGACTAGATATTCTTCAAGACACTAGTATTCAGCTTAAAGTGACATTTAAAGGCTTCACTAGGGTAATTAGGGTAAAGTTAGGGTAATTAGGCAAGTCATTGTATAACAGTGGTTTGTTCTGAAGACAATCCAAAACAAGTATTGCTTAAGGGGGCGAATAATATTGACCTTAAATGGTATTGAGACAATTAAAACTGCTTTTATTCCAGCCAAAATAAAACAAATAAGACTTTCTCCAGAAGAAAAAAAAATTATTTGGGGGGCAAATAATTTTGACTTCAATTGTATATAAGGTAATTGCTTGAGTTTATTTTTAATATCCACAGGTTCAGCTAATATGTTGTAACATCTACTTCATATCAGTGTAATATTTTACTCAAACATAATTGCTTTCTGTCTTAAATTATAAAGACTTTATTGGCATATTCCTTTATCTCATATATATCAAAAGATAGAAAACATGCCATTTTGAGAAAAAAAACAGACCATGTACTAATTAAGTTAAACAAAATTTGTATATATTTTCTGTGCAACTAACTTATTAAATAATATAGGGGGTATATTAAATTTTGGAAATGACTCGCGTACACATACACACTCGCCGGCCACTTTATTAGGTACACCTTACTAATACCAGGTTGGACCCACCTTTGCCTTCAGAACTGCCTTAATCCTTTGTGGCATAGATTCAACAAGGTACTGGAAATATTCCTCAGATATTTTACTCCATATTGACATGATAGCATCACACAGTTGCCGCAGATTTGTTGGCTGCACTACCATGATGCCAATCTTCCATTCCACCACATCCCAAAGGTGCTCTATTGGATTGAGCTCTGGTGACTGTGAAGGCCATTTGAGTACAGTGAACTCATTGTCATGTTAGAGAAACCAGTCTGAGATGATTGAACTTTATGACATGGAGCGTTATCCTGCTGGAAGTAGCCATCAGAAGATGGAGACACTGTGCTCATAAAGGGACGGACATGGTCAGCAGCAATACTCAGGTAGGCTGTGGGGTTGACAGGATGCTCAGTTGATACTAATGGACCTAAAGTGTGCCAAGAAAATCTCCCCCCACACCCTTACACCACCACCAGCCTGAACCGCTGATACAAGGCAGGATGATCCATGCTTTCATGTTGTTGATGCCAAATTCTGACCCGAGCATCTGAATGTGTCAGCAGAAATGGAGACTCATCAGAGCAGGCAACGTTTCTCCAATCTTCTATTGTCCAGTTTTGGTGAGCCTGTGTGAATTGTAGCCTCAGTTTCCTGTTCTTAGCTGACAGGAGCGGCACCCGGTGTGGTCTTCTGCTGCTGTAGCCCATCCGCCTCAAGGTTGGATGTGTTGTGTGTTCAGAGATGCTCTTCTGCAGACCTCGGTTGTAACAAGTGTTTATTTGAGTTATTGTCTCCTCTGACCATCCGCCCACAGAACTGCCGCTCGCTGGATATTTCCTCTTTTTCAGACCATTCTCTGTAAACCCTAGAGATGGTTGTGCGTGAAAATTACAGTAGATCAGCAGTTTATGAAATACTCAGAGTAGCCCGTCAACAACCATGCCACGTTCAAAGTCTCTTAAATCCCCTTTCTTCCCCATTCTGATGCTCAGTTTGAACTGCAGCAGATCGTCTTGATCATGTCTACATGCCTAAATGCAGTGAGTTGCTGCCATGTGGTTGGCTGATTAGAAATTTGCGTCAACGAGCAGTTGGACAGGTGTACCTAATAAAGTGGCCGGTGAGTGTATATACTCTATTCTCTTGGAATAATTTTTTTTTCCTCAGAAAAAAACATGCAATTTTGAGTCATAAAAATGAAATAACTTGAATTAATTTGACTAATTAAATGAAAATTGTATACCTTTTCTGAGCATCTAAGTGAAACAATATTTACACGTCTTTTCTTTAAATATTTTTATTTTCCGTTAACATTTATTAATCTATTACAATAAACTCTGTGTTGATGGCTTAAGTTTTATTTAACAGTCATGATCCTGAGAAGCTGCTTAATATTCACTAGAGGAAACCGCATGATTGGCCATCTGCCTGACTCTGCCGCTCACACACATTCACACTCTATAACTGTGAGTGTCTGTGTGTGTGTGAATGTGTGTGTGTGTGTGTGTGTGTGTGTGCAGGTCCGCTCCACCATCCCCATTGCGCGTGTGTGCGCGGTGGAGCGTGTGGATGAAAATGCCTTTCAGCTGCAGCACGTCATGCAGGTCATTACACAGGACACTGATGGACAACTACACACCACATACCTGCAGTGCAAGGTGAACGCACACACTAATGTGCAACTACACATCACATGCACTCACAGTCATAGACACAAACACAGACTTACACACACACACACACACACACACACACACAAACTTGTCTTTCTGAATTGAGGAGACACTCTATAGTGTACTGGTATTACTATACTTGAGGACCACACACACACACATTGGGCCCTATCATACACCCGGCGCAATGTGGCGCAAGGCGCGGCGCAATAGTCTTTTGCTACTTTCAGCTCGGCGCAAGGATCATTTTGAGGTGTTGCGCCACACTGTTTAAATAGCAAATGCATTTGCGCTCAAATGTGCGCCCATAGGCGTTCTGGTCTTAAAAAGCAGGCGTGTTTTGGCGCGTTGCTATTTTGAAAAACTGCAAATAGTCTGATCTTTAGACCAGAACAAAGTCAGTCTATTGTCTGGCGCAAAGTGCGCCTGGCTTACACACTACACACAAGATGCAGAGCAATACACAAATATCTTTACATATGAAAAATATATAATATCTTAAGGATATATATATATATATAT